GGCAGGGTGAGGCACAAGGGGAGAGTGCAGGGCCCAGAGGGCAGATGCCAGGCTCTGGGACTGGCCAGGTTTCCAGCTCCTGCTTACAGCACGAGGTTAACAGCAGTGCTGTTTGGCCCCCAAACCTGCAAACCAGCTCTCAGCTGCCCTTACCGGGCCAGGGTGCCTGGGAGCCGGCCCAGATGGTGCCGGTGAGGTGGTTCCCTTCACTCACCTGAAAGCCCTGCTGGGGCGAGCAGACGCAGTAGGGGCCCTGCCCGTGTGCCCCACTGCATGCCCAGGATGCCTGGCAGAGGGGCCCACTGAATCCTTGTGGGGAACTGAAACGGCACCAGAGCCAGGCTCTGGGCCCGTGCTGGGGTTGCCATGTGTGCAAAACCAAGTCCCCACAGGGCTCCGGAGTCCAGAAATGAGCAAGTGGTCACTGACCACTTCCCAGGCTATTAGGTGGTGGTGGTGATTGCACCGTCGGCGGGCCGCCCTGAGGTGACACTTGAGCTGTGCCCCGAACCTGAGCAGCAGACAGCATGGTAAAGATGCCCTTTTGGTAGAGGGACAGTGGCAGAGGCTGTGTTTGTGCTCTGTGCACCATGTGTTGGGCCAAAGTGTGGGCAAGAGGCCGGGTGAGGCTGGGAGCCTCCTGGGGTCTTCAGGCCACAAGCACTTTCGGGCAGGTGGGCGGGGCCGCGGGCTGGCAAGTCACTGATCTTGGACCTTTCTGCAGTGTCTGATGGGGCTGAGCTCCTGGTACTTTTGACGCTGCCCACCTGTTGGGGCTTAGGATGTCACCCTGTTGCAGCCTGGCGCCTCACCCCAGCGCAGGGTTTCCCTCTGCACTCCCGCCTTTGGCTCCAGGCTGCCTGGCCCCCACAGCCTGTGCTCCAGTATCCACAGTTCTGCTTCTGGAGGAATGCACCTTCCTTCAAGTCTTCTGTGGTGCCCTAGTACCTCCGGCCCCGGGCTTTATCCAGAACTCCCCACTCACCTAGATGCGGCTAAGTCTCAGGCCTCCCCGACCCACGGCCCCTGCCAGGCTGTCGTGTTTCTGGGCTGTGATCAGTGCCCCAGAAGTCGTCCGAGCCTCAGTTCCCCATTTGTGAAGCAGTCAGGCACCCAGCGGTGGCCCTCTGGAGGGTCACAGGAGGCCTCCTTGTGCTGCTCTGCACCTGGAGATGGCCTAAGGTGAGGGAGGGCTACCCCCGTGCAAACCCACCGTGCTGGAGGTTATGCGTTCCTTCTGGGGCCACCCTACCCCTTGGTCCTGCTGTTTCCTTCCTTCCATGCTGTGGGGCTTGCTTATGTAACTTCCTCTTGGGAAACTTCTGAAATGCCACCGGTAGGCGAGTTCCACCCTCTGGAAGCCGCTGCTGGGTAGCCTGGCTCCAGCACTTGTGTGGAAGGAGTGGGCGCCAAGGGGGAGGAGGCTAAGGCATCATTTCCAGCCCTACCTGAGGCTCATTTTAGGTGCGCCCCGCTTCGGAGAATGGCTGAGGAAGCAGCCTTAGGGAGTTTGCAAGGTGAGAGCCTTCTTCACCTCAGCCCTCCCTTGCCTTGTGGTGGGAATCAAGTGTGTGAAAGGACAAGCTCGGGAACGTGTGGTTTCAACAGGTTTCTCTGCTCAGGACTTCTCCAACCCCTCCTGAGGCTGCAGGGCAGCTGTCGCCTCGGAGATAATCCCACCTTGCCGTGGCTGCCGGAAAGCTCAGATTTGTTTCAGCAGCTGTCTCCTTCCTAGCTTTTGCTGGGTGTCTCTATAACCTAGAACCTTCTTTGGAACAAGGCATGTCTTTTTAAGGTTAGTTTTGTCTTTGTTTTGGGGTTTTTTTTTTTGAGACTGTTTTGCTGTGTAGCCCAGGCTAGTCTAAAACTCATGGCGATCCTCCCTTGTCAGCCTCCCAGATGCTGGGATGATAGGTGTGCGCCACCATGCCCAGCTAGGTTGGCTTTTTGACATCAGTGAACTGGACTGAGCATTTCCTGTTCATCCCTCCTGTCAAGTATTAACAGTGTCCATCTGTCCATCCATGTGTCACCCACTCCAGGCTCTGAGCTGGGGTGGACAACCCAGGCATGCACATCAGGGGCATCTGCGTGACCTGCTTGCCGGCCGCGTGTTACTGAAAGAAACTATGCCCGAGGGCACGGCAGTCATCTGTAGAGCCAGGCTCTGGGTGACACAGTGCTCCCTGATGGGGGCCGTTGGGGCAGGGAGTGGTCTCTTCCTGAGGCTTCACTGGCCCCTGGCCTTCAGTCCAGCCTGCGGTGGCTGAGAAGAGGCAGCACAGTGGTAGGCTGAGGCCATTTTGAGTGGCCTGCTGCCCTCGCTTGACACAGGGTCTTCTGTGCCAGGCTGCTTGGGTGTAGGTTAAATATTGCTGCCCCAACCTTTTCTACCCATTTCCCAAGGGGCAGAGACAACCAGCAAGCCTGCTTCTTGGTGAGAGTCACGTGCTACATCTGTCTAGCCACTACCCACTACCCACTGTGCCACCTCAGAGCAAGTCGAGGCGTACCTCTCTGGCTGGGGGCCTGTGCTGGCTTTGGGGCCTTCTTGAGACAAGCCTCCATGCCAGAAGGGACCAGGGCACCAAGGTGGGTCCTCAGGGTCCTGGGCCTTGACATGCAGGAAGCGAGCAAGTCATAAGATAGTTTCCAGGTGCCAGCCGAAGGGGACGCAGGTCTGGAAAGCAGTGAGGGGTTTCCAGATTGTCAGTCCTGTCCTCCAGGCAGGGCTGGAGGGCCTAAGCCTGGGTGACAGGGCGGGGGTCAGCAGCGTTTGGGGCCCACCTGTACAAACCCTTCTGTCAAATGCCTGTGAAGAGACAAGACAAGACAAGCCTAGAGCCAGGCCTCTGCTGTCCTCAGAGGCACGCAGGGCTTTCTACCCGGTCTTCATGCCCACTGCACCGGGCCCAACCCTGAGTAGCTGCATTGACTACCAGGTCCCATTGAAGTAACATTTTAGTGTGACACTTTTATTTTCCCTTTATTAGGGTGCGGGCAGGTAGGTAGTATGTGTTCCACCGCAGGTTGGCAAATGGGTGTGTGCCCGATGCCTAGGTGCTCTAGCCATCCATGGCCAGGGCAGGGCAGACCTCCTGGCCTGGGACTAGGGTAACGTGTTGGAGTCAGGCCTTTCCCGGGTACTGGCTCACACCATCACCCTAGCAACCCCAAAGCAAGCTGCCTCGAAGCTGCCAAAACTGAGGCACGGAGAGGGCCGAGCCTTGTGTGTGGGGCTGCACGGGAAATGGCAGGTTCTGGGCTGGACCCTAAACCTCAGAGGGTAAGAACTGTAGAGTCCCAGTGAAAGTCACCCACAGAAATGCAAACCCTCCCATTGCTTTTACTTTGGGCTGCTTACCAACCAGAAAGAACAAAGAAAAAAGTGGGTTTTCACCAGCACGGTCGTAACTGAACCCTGCTGCCTGGATGCTGGGAGCCGAGCAGGTATGCTCTCCAGAAGATGCCCACGGGACACGGCAGCAGACACTGTACTGTCACACAGGTTCCTGAAGTTGTCCCACCACTCTGATCGCCAGCACCACAGAGATTTGAAGCTGGGGCCTGAGCCGGGCACGTGTGCCCAGGGGAAGCCGAGGCTCCCAGGTGTCCCTGTTGCTGACCCCACAGCCTGCATCACCTCTGTCCCCTTGCAGTTCACCAAACAGGCCTCCCTGGCCGCACCATCCTGGGTTTGGGTCGCGGCTTACGCACACAGGGCTGTGTAGGGAGAGCCACTGCGGGCGAGGAGGGCGAGCTGCTTCTTGCCGCCTGCCAGCTCGGCAGGTCCTCCGCTGCTGGCGTGGAGCCGGCACGGAAGCCCCATCAGACTGCAACGGGCAGCTTCACACGTCAGTCTCGGCGCTCAGTCACTCACTGGGGGGAACGGGGAGGGGGACCTGGTCTCCTCTACGCAGCCTGCTTCCCCCAGTAACTCCAACTGTGGCCCCAGGGCCCCAGGGGTCTGTCACTGTGGCTCTCCAAAGGCAGGAAGACAGGCAAAGGGGGCTCTGCGCCCTGGGGAGCCCCGGCTGCTTCGGGCACTCGGGGCCAGGACTCCAGTCCTGTGACCCCTCCCTGCCTGGTAGCAGGAGTGGGACGGCTGTGACATGCCACGCCCTCGGCTGATGGTTACTCCGCTCTGACCCACTGGGTCCAGCAGTGTAGGCCAGGCCGCTCTGTGGCTGTGCACCGACCGACCTTCGAGCTGTGCTCCCTGACGCCTGTGTGGCCAAAGTTGCACGAGTGCCCTCTGGGCAGAGCTGGCAGCCAAGTCCTCGCACCAGAAACCTGGCTCTGCTTGCCTGTCCTCTCTAGCCTGTCTCCCTCACTCTACACGAGCCTGGGGATTCCTGGGCCTCAGGGGAAGCCAGCTAGCTGCCCGTCCGATGCCCAGCCCCTCCAGGGCTTCTTCCCCCTTGCAGCCACCTGGTGTCACATGGCCCTGGAGAAACAATCTTGGCGGCCTGGCCAGGGGAGGGGAGGGGAGGGGAGGGGCGCGAGGGAGTGGAGGGCTGCATCTGAGACTCCGCAGTCAGGAAGCTGCTGGTCAGTTCTAGGGTGCTCCCGCGCCTCCTGCTTGAGCCAGGCTCCTCCTGTGCCACCCCAGCCTGTCTGGACCAGGAGGGGGCCTCCTGCCCCGTGTGCAGCCCACGTGTGGACAGCACACGGTGGGAGAGTGGGACTGCAGCTCATCTGGCGCAGCCTGAAGAACTGGCTACGCTTTGCCCCTTTGGCTTTGGCATGACACAGCAGGTCGCTAACTGGGCAGGGACCTCCGTGCCGCCAGCAGCAGGCAGGCAAACGCCGCCAAAGCTGGGCTGTAGCTGTCAGCCAGCACAGGGCGCTCGTGCCTCAGTGGTGGCCAGGGCCTGAGGAGAAGGCGGGCCAGGCCTCCTCCCAGCCCCCACCTGGACCCTCGCTCAGCAGCCCCCGCGCACTCTGGGAAGTCTTGGGAGAACTTGGAGAAGCCTCGAGCGCCCCTCTCCATTTCCTAGAGTTCAAAGCCCAAGCTGCAAGCAGCCTGCTCCGGCATCCAGCAGGTCCGGCGGTGTACGCGCCTGGAGATGCCCGACAACCCCTACACCTTCGTGCTGAAGGTGAGTGAGCACAGGATTCTCGGGCCTGAGGGGGGGCATGGCACAGTTCTCGGACTCTCCCAGCTGTCCCCTTCCTGCCTGCCAGGTGAAGGACAGGACAGACATCATCTTTGAGGTGGGAGACGAGCAGCAGCTGAACTCGTGGATGGCCGAGCTCTGGGAGTGCACTGGCCGAGGGTGAGGCCCTCCCCGCGCCGCCCTGTTTGCCTACCCGGACCCCTCAAGGCCCTCAGACCCAGCTTCTCCCCTGCAGGCCGGAAAGCACAGACCGAGAGCTAGGCCGTCCCTCTGCTCCGGAGCCTAGCACTTCCAGCTCCCCTCGGGGAAGCACTGACTCCCTGAACCAAGGTGAGGCGGGGGGGGGGCAGGCCCTGGGGCTCTGGGCAGCCTGGCACCCACGTGGGGTCACCACCAGCTTGTCTTCTCTACCAGGTGCTTCTCCTGGGGGGTTGCTGGACCCCACCTGCCAGAAAACAGACCACTTCCTGTCCTGCTACCCCTGGTTCCACGGCCCCATCTCCCGGGTGAAGGCAGCCCAGCTGGTGCAGCTGCAGGGCCCTGATGCGCATGGCGTGTTCCTGGTGCGGCAGAGCGAGTCCCGGCGTGGGGAGTATGTGCTCACTTTCAACTTCCAGGGCAGAGCCAAGGTATGCGCAGGGCGTGGGGCTGTGCCGCCAGCGCCCCTGGAGCTCGGCCCGCGGACAGCGCGCCACCTTCGCCTCCCTCCCACAGCACCTGCGCCTGCTGCTGACGGAGCGGGGCCAGTGCCGCGTGCAGCACCTGCACTTCCCCTCGGTCGTGGACATGCTGCGCCACTTCCAGCGCTCGCCCATCCCGCTTGAGTGTGGGGCTGCCTGCGATGTCCGGCTGTCCAGCTACGTGGTTGTCCTCTCCCAGCCACCAGGTGCGACCCTGAGACCTTTTGCTAACGGGGGGGCTGGCACAGGGAGCCCCGTGGAGGGCTAAAGCTTGCTGTGGACCACGCCACACAGAGGTGTGGTTTCGTGTCCTGCCAGCCCTTGTACTGAGACTCATGTGAGCTCTCTTGGTCCCTGTGTCCTAGGTTCCTGTGACACTGTCTTCCTCCCTCCCTCCCTCCTTCCCTGGGACTCAGAGCTGGGCCTCCCCCACCTCAGCTCTTCCGGCTGTCCTCAAGGGCTTGGCCCCGAGGGTCTTCCAGGCCGCTCGTCACCACCCGAGCAAATCTTCCACCTGGTGCCTTCGCCTGAGGAACTGGCCAGCAGCCTGCGGCACCTGGAGCCTGAGCCTAGGAGTCGAGCCCGAGACTCGGACTATGAAATGGACTCGTCTTCCCGGAGTCACCTGCGGGCCATCGACAACCAGTACACACCTCTCTGATGGTGGTGGGGCCCAGGCAAAGACATGAACTTGTGAATGTAACGATCTTTCCTTCCTTCCAGAGAGAGATTCAAGGGACGCTCAGCTGCCCTTTGCAGTTGGACGTGACCCTGCTATTAGGCCTGTTAAAGGGCCTCCTGTACGTCTTGCCTATGCTCGGCTTTCTTCTTGTTGTTTACAGAAGTGGTTCCTGTCTGCAGATGCCACCAACCTCTGCCCTGGGTCCCTAGTCCGAGTCCCCATCGCTCTCAGAAGAGGTGGGGTGAGGGCCGGAGCTGGAGGAGAAACTCGCTCGCTCTCACTGACACCGTCACAGCTGGTGACAGACTTTTACAGGGGAGGGAGGGGTGTCATCAGGGAGCCCAGAACACTAACAAGCCCTGGAGCCTCACGCAGTTTCCCACGGGAGCGTCAGGCCCGAGGCAGGTCCACGCCCCAGGTGGGCACTCCTAACCCAGCTCCTCTCAGCTTTGGGACAAAAGCTCCGTCACAGGGGCAAGCTGAAGGTAAAAAATGATTTTAAACATTTTACCTCAGATTAATTTTTTAAGGATTCAGGTTTCAAGACTAAATCATTGCTTATTTCATTGCACTGTTTCACCTCATACCCGTGCCTGTTCTGTAGCCAGGGGTCACTACTGCAAGCCCCGCCTGACTTACTCATGGTCCGAGTCACTGTGCCTGGCGGCCTTGTCCATCCCTGGGTCAGTCACCTGCTCCTGGGCAGCCACTGTCCTCCCTGAATACAGAGAAGTGAAATGTGTCACCCGTTCAGAGAAATTCAGGCAATTACTGAAACAGGAGGGTGACAAGGAACAGTTCTACCCTGGTGCCTTAAGAATCAACAACTGGACCCTGGTTTACAGCAGCCTCATGCAGACCACGAGTCACAGGGTAGCGGGGGGTGGGGGGGAGCGGAAGGGAAGAGGCTCCTGGGCCCTTTCTAGGCAGCCCCATAAACTGGCCAGCTCAGTGGCCCCCACACTTCTGAGGCTTATTAAATTACCCCACAAGTGAGCTTTTGGCTCCTTTTTAAGCCAGAATGGAAGCTAGGAATCTGCTGCCACAGCCAAGGAGAAACTAAAAACCCACAATCTGTCCTGTCCTAGCACGTGTGTCTCTGGACACAGGCCCCTGTCCAGCCAGGGCCTGAAGCCAAACCTCCATCTATACTTGCCTTTCAAATGACACGATTCATAGAGGGGCCTTCCTGTGGAGGCGTAGGAACAGGGTGGGCAGTAACGTAGCGAGTCAGCTGCTCCTGGGAGCCAGCAGAGCCATTCAGTGCAGCCAACCAGTGTCACCACAGTGGCTTCTATGATACCAGGAGCGTAGCAGAGCTCAGCTTGCGACGCTCGAACCCACAGCCTCAGACCACCCACACTGCCTGCCACCTCAAGGAAGGGCTTGGTCTCTCCAGTTACTCTCTATCCCCCAAGAGGCCAGGCTTTTGCTTCTACAATTTGCTCGTTTTTTAGAGGGCTTAGGCCGGGCACAGTGACACACCCCTGTAATCCCAGCACTCAGGAAGCCGAGGCAGGAAGACTGCTCAGAGTTCAAGGCCAGCCTGGGCTACACAGTGAAAGATCTGACCTACATACCAAGACCTTGTCTCAAAAAGCCAGAGGGCTTTACAGCCACCTCTGCGCCACTCTGAAGACACTCCATTGTTCTTATGGGCCACACCCCACACTGACCTGGGCTTGCCGTCCAGTTCTGAGGGTACCTGTCTTTATCCTCCAACAAGCCGGTTTAGTAAATGTGGCTGGGTGTGGCCTCCCAGCACTTGGGAGGCTAAGGCAAGATCAACATGAGTTCAAGGTCAGCCTGGGCCTATATCCTGAGGCCCTGTCTTCTAAAAAAAAAAAAAAAACCAAAAGTGAACCAAGTGCGTCAGCAGTGTTCTGGATTTTTTTTGAAAGACAAAGGTCATCAGAGAAGGCAACCCTGATGAGTGAGATCGCTAGGTTTTCTCCTGTCTGCACAGGAAATAGTGAAGCAAATAAGTTCCCTTGCTCCAGCCGGTCTAGCCCTCTTTCCAGCTTGGGCCGTGCCAGAAGTGCGCCAGGCCCTGCACACACAGCAGCTCCAACCCAGTTCACGGTGACAGTGAACTGCAAGTCCCCCACCCCAGACTGCTTCCTCTCTGAATGTGTCCAGTTTACCAGGACAGCTCAAATACATTCTGACAAAAAGACCCCTTACTGGCCCCGGGACCAAGTGACACTATGCCAATGCCTTTTCTTTCTGCTGAAGCAGGCCCAGCTGGGCTGGGTGTGCTCACTGCTGAGCCTGGCCCTCCTCACGCCAGCATATCCCACGCCCCTCCCGCTAGGCACGATGTGACCACCACTGGCAGCTGAGGCCAAGCCAGCAACTTCCACCCACAGCAAGGGTGAGCGCCCGCCTGGGCAGTGAAGGAGGAAGCGTCAGAAATCACAGCTCCCAGCACCATCCTTTCCTTCTACTACTAAACTTTATAAATTAACAGTCACCAGCACCAAAGAATTAAGTCAACTAACTTGCCTTGAATTTTAGACCAGCAATCCATATGGTTTTTACCTGGTACAAATCTTCTGCCTTTGATCACTTCTGGACCATGCAGGAAAAAGGAATAGTTAAAATTGTTAAGATCCTGGGCCAGAGAACACTATTTTTACGTAACAGTTTCTTAATCTATCCAGGAAGGCCTTCGACTTTTTCCTGAGGGTTGCCTGAGATTCCTTCCTACTTTTTATTGAGGGCTGTCACTTACCACAGATGACATGTCCAAGCTGACACCTTGACCGTAGATCACCCACTGCCTCTTACCATGGACACCCCTGCTGTCAAGTGGCTGAAGTAACAGCACAGTGTGGTAACACAAATAGCAGATTAATCTGGTTATCATTTTAGGTAGAAGGTATCTGGCAGTTTTTATGTATTGTTTTATGTACTGTATAAGTAACTTATTACTGAATAATGCAAATTTTGCTATAATGTACAAATTGCTATACGTGAATTAAAGTAAGTTTCTAGAATCTTGATCTGTCGCCACCATGTCTGAAGGCTCTATTAAACCTATATTCTCTACAAAATCCCTACCTGCTTAACTACATGCTTTTCCTCTGTCTTCCACAGATGGGTGATATTAAATACCTAAGAGGCGTTTGTAAACTGCTTTACATATCTGTATCTTTCAGCCTTACTGTCCTCTGGATCTTTCTCTCTCTCTGTCTCTTGTCAGGCTGGCCTGGAACTCAGAAGTTCCTCTTGCCCCAGCCTTCCCAGTGCTGGGATTATAGCTTCCCAGTGCTGGATTTTTTAACTGTAGTTTTTAAAATAAAATATCTCTTGCCCCCTGCTGGTAAAATAGCTGAATTGGGACAACTGCTGAGCTACAGCAAGTGTCTGTCTTGCAGGGACAGGCCATGGGAGCTTACGGAACCCATGCTGTGCGGGGTGGTGCCCCTGACGCTAAACACTAATCCAACAAGGATCGCTCAGTCTTGGCTTTCTCTAGAGACACCCTGTACCAGAACTAAAGGGGAAGAAGAATCACTTGGCAACTACCTTCCAGGATACAGAAGCAGCATACATAGCCCGCCTGCCCTGACAGTCTCCTACAGCACAAGCAGCTTACACAAACACACATTAACTTGTTATCAGTTTTTAAAACTTTTTTTATTTTTTAATTTTTTTTAAGTTTTTATTTTATATTATCTACAAAGTAAAAGTTTTTCCCTTAACTTAAAAGTTGAACCACTGTAGACAGTGATCACCTCATCAAACTTGATTTATAAATAATAATCCGTCAGTTTGACGGTAAGAATTTACTGAACCTTTGTCAAGTTTAGTAAAAGGGTGTTCTAAGTCTTGATTTTTTTTTTTTTTAGCGATAATAGCAGCAAGAATCACTCTTGTTACTTTTGCTAGCTGATGTGTTCATGACTTTCAAGGGCCATTAAAAAATAAATAACTTCCAGTTTCGGCAAGCAGAGCTGGGTACCTGCGGGACTCTGAAACAGCACATGGAATTATGGAACAGCCCACAAGTTCCTAAACGCCTCTACTCGGTCCAAACGTCTTCCACTGCACGTGAGCTGTTAGCATTCCTACTGAATGTTACAAGAAATCAACGTATATTTTTAAAAAACAAAATAAATGTAATTCTAGTTTTCTGTGCTTCCAGTTGGTAGAAGCAGTAGAAGGGAGGAGGGAATTTGGCCTTTCGGTTCCTCCAGGGCAGCCTTACAACTGCTGTTGGTGGTGGGCTTGTACTGTAAGAAAGAAAAGCGCATATTTAAACAGAACACTGGTGAACACTGCCCGTCAGTCTAGTGCCTCTGCAGCGCGGACTGTGAACTACCCTTGTGCTAGCTGAACGAGACTTGAAATTTAATTCCCTTCCCCCTCCCATCTGCACCAAGGTGGGGAAGGATGGGGAGGTGGGTGGGTAGAACAAACCAGTCAGACGTAAAACCTCTTCAGATAAAACTCCCACAAGACTTGATGGGGGAAGGAGAAAAAGCCCTAACGTATCCCCTCCCCAAATAGTAGCCAAGCACCAGCATTGCTTTCAGAGGAACAGGTGAGACTGCAGTACCGCCATGGCAGCCATCCAGTACTGGAGCACCAGCAAGGGCGTCCCGCATCAGGGCGTAGGCTGGGGCTGACGCTACACTCAAACCAGTCCACACACAGCACTTGCTCATCAGTATCTTCTCCAAACTACAATCAAACTGCCATGGTCATAACCCCCTGCGTGTCAGCCTGTGGGGACTCAGGAAGGAACACACTGCCCTGCCCAGCCTGTTGTAACAAGGAAGGCCAACTGAGCCCTAGGCATGCGCCAGCGACCCGAGTGCGGCGGCGGCTGCTGTTCATCAAGCCACATCCTGCATACCATCAGAACACACACAGACCGGCTCCCAGAAGCCTCAGGCCCTGACGCTGACTGATCATCGAAGTCCCTTTTGGGCAGTCTTGGACGGGTCTTGCTATTCTTGAGCGCGGGGCTTGCAGCATTGGCCCTGCCTGCCATTCAACCTGTGCCAGCAGAATGCTTGGGGTGCCCCGGCGGCCCCTGCACACACACGCCTCACCTGAAGGGTGCGTCATATAGGGGAAATGCGCTGTTGTCGAGACTGGAATGGGCTGTAGTGCACTTTGAGCGAGAGCGGCCTGGGGACCGCCGGGTGGCTGTGTCGTCATTAGCATCATTGGCGCATGGGCAGTTGGATGAGAAGGAACCATTCCTGACTGTACATGAGCCTGAAACAGAGAGCTCTTTTACGCATACAGGCAACATCTCCGGCTTAAACAACAAGTCCACTGTGTTCCTTTCCTTTCGCTAGGCTGGACTCTCAGGAGAGGGCGAGGCTGGGCCTCAGGGCCCATTTCTTTTCTCTGGGGGACACTCCCTGGTTCACACCTTCCAGCAGCTGCTGCAGGGTTGGGGAGCAGGCACCAAGCGAGCCTGGGTAAACATCAGGGCTGCAATGTTCTAGTTGCCACCACGGCTCATCACTGAGTTCTGCCTCTGGGACAAGGTCTCAGAAAGGGCAGTCCTGATCCTGAGCAGCTTTCTCAGCCAGGACAAGACACAATGGTGCTTCAGAATGGGGCTCCCGTGTCGGGCCTGAAGATGTTTGACAGAGACCTCCTTTCCAATAGGAAAGTGGACTAGTACAGGACAAGCAGGGACCGCTGGATGCCATCTGGGTCACTTCTCGTTACACCCCCACTGCCGAGGCCTACTCACTAGGCAATTAAGGCGAACAAACGCCTCGGTTCCCTTTGCTCTGTGAAAGGTGCGCTGATGGAGCAGGGGAAGAGGCTGCCGTTTCCGGCTCCAGTGCGTGGGAAAAGCAGTCCGAAATTCTCTGGACCAGCCGAGTGCCTCGACACCAAGTGACAGCAAGTTCAAGTAGGAAAGGAGATTTTAGCCCAGACAGTGAGCCCCCAGCTCTGCAGGGGGTTGGCAGGGCTAGGAAGAGCCCTCGTTCCCTGCCTCCCATACTGTATGCTGTTCTAAGACCGTGAACTTTGAATGAAACACTGTTTTTACTCTCACATTAATCAAATGACATATCTGGACTGTCTCATACAATAAGCCTTTCTGCTTTCTGCACAAAAACACAAAAGTGAGGTTTTTAGGAACCTCAACTTTTATTTACATACCTATTTAGCCACCAGCCTCTGTTAGACACTTGCAGGACCCCAACTCTCATGAAGCTGACTCCATCAAAGCGCGCTGACCACACCGGCCCCCTCCCCACTACACAGCCAATCGACTATAGCGCACTGCACTACTGCACTGCAGCACCTGACCTCCACAGGGTATGGGTTCCAAACACGCCAGCAACTGTGGCCCTCCAGTGACAAGGTAGCCTGAGACAGCTCCAGCTGCATCACATCTCTGGCCCACACCACGCCAGGGCCTCACGGGCACACTACTTGACGGGGAATGGAGGTGAGTGAGGAGGGTCTTGCTTAGACACCCCGTAGGAGCTCTGGTATGAAAGCAGCAGACAACTAATACAGCCAGTTCACCCTGCACTGAGCTCCACGGATGGCCTCAGGACAGCGCAAGAGCCCAACTCCAGTGCCAGTCTTCTCCCCAGGGAAAGCCAGCACGTCCCTGGCCTGCACAGGACCTCTGTCAGCAGCTGACACAGATGGGACCGCACCTTTCCACCTTCCCAGGCTCGCCGGGGAGGATCTCCAGAGACCTCCAGAGCTGCACTTTTAACAACAGGACACCTGGGTGCATCAACTTCTTGTTACCCAGCCCTCTCCAGAAGCACAACACATGGCTAAAGCAGATGAGGGACGACCAGGGAAAACAGATGGACGGACGGCCCTGAAACTCACGGGACCGACATGCAGACTGCCAGGCCCAGCACAGCCACCTCAAGGAGCTGAGACTGATGGCCTCTAGCCCTGCCAGTCTCTGTGGACGTGTGGAGGGGTTATATGTATGGTGACATATATATATAGGAGGGGAGCTATAGACAGAGCAAAGCAGACACAGAAAGGAAGGAAGGACTGGGGTGCATTCCAGAGTCAAAGATGTTTGTAAGGTCTCAGCTGGAAAATGTTAAAGCACTGACTGATAAGCAACTTCACGGATCCCATTACAAAACCACACCAACATTTACTGCGGGCCGGATCACAGGTGTACTGAGTGGGGAGGGGGAGACAGGCAATGGCACCACACACGGGGGTCCTGGCCTGCACAGCAGCTGGCTCTTCGCTGCTGCTGACAACCACCATGTCCTACTCACTCTTCAGACAAGTGGCTATGCTGATTACCTGAGGTACATGGGCCATGTGGGGCGGGTTGGTGTATGCTGGCTGAACATGAGAAGGATGAATTGTGAAGACCGTCTGCTGTGCTGCTGGGAAACTATTCTGTGGCGACTGCGTGTTGGAGGCAGGCGTCATGGAAGGTGGGGTTGGCGCAAGCCCCGCGTGGTAAATGGCTGACTGCTGCTGTGGACTGGCCAGATGAAGCGCCTGGGCGGCCTGGTGCTGATGGTGCTGCAAAGCGTCAGGTAGTTTGAGAGAGAGACTTTTACAAGTTCCCATCCGAACAGGTAAAACAAGAGCATGGACCCAGGGAATTGAGAGATGTCCAAAAAACCCCCTAACTGCTTTCCGAACCAGCATGATTACAGATGTTAATAACAACAAATAAGCCCCCTGATTACATGAACTTCAGGAATGAAATTAAAATCACAACCAAGAAAGAATCTGCTTCATGTTTTTCTTTTTGAGGGGGAGAGGGGTTCTTTTTGAGGCAGGGTCTCACAGCCAGTGCAGGCTGGCCTTTAACTCAGTGACCCTCCTGCCTCAGCCTCCCAAGTGCTGGGATTACAGACATGTTCCACCATGCCCAGCTTGCTTCATGTCAGATCATGAATTTTACATTCAATATGATTTTTTTTTTGCCAGGCATGGTGGTGCACACCTATAATCCCAGCACTCAGGGAAGTTGAGGCAGAAGGAGAATCGTTACTTCTAGGCCAGTTTGGGTAATTTA